TCATGCTGCCTGGAGCTCCCAGCTCATCCGGTTTTAACCAGCTTCCCCATGTTCCCTAACAGGCCCCTAGTCTTTTTTTTTTTTTTTAATAAGGTCATAAAAGAGCTAGTTGTAATAAGAACTTCCCCGGATGTTTTGTTGTTCTGCCATGTTCGGCCACAGCTGATTGGATTTCACTCTCCTGGCCGATCAGGGTTTCTGTGTGATTGTGGCAGAGCCAGGACCTGGAAGAAGGGGAAGCAGTGAAGCTGGAGTGGGGCCGTCTCTGGTTTTCACAATGGCATTAGTGGTCATTCTGTCACTTTTCTCCTGTGCAGTGTAAGAGAAAGTTGCTTTCACCAAGAATGCAACTACAGTACATACATATCTATGTTCTAAGTTATACATTCAGATAAAATATATTCCATCCTTAATTAGAAATAAATACATGGTGATATTAGCAGCTTATTACAAAGTTCTTTGGCAAAAGTTCTTGAGTTAGAAAATAGAAATTGAGATGAATTAAGCCACAAAAATCATCTTTTCAAACAGCCTCCTTTAAAAGTGCCCCTTTCTTCCTTTGAGTTAAAGGAAGTCCTCTTCTGTTGCATTTTAATTCTGTAACATAAGAGTAACCTGTTGAAGAACTCGTGTATCTCAGTTGCAATATTCCAAACCATACCCCCCCCCCCGAATTAAAAATAAGCAAGGCTTAAAAATAAGTAGTCCCAGCTACTCTGAAGACTAAGGCAGGAGGATCACTTGAGCCCAGGAGTTGAGACCACAGGTCACACCTGTGGATAGCCACTGCACTCCAGCCTGGGTAACATCGTGAGACCCCCATCACTCAAAAAAAAAAAAAAGTCAGAAAATAAAAAATTGTTGCAACCCAAGGTGGGAAACTAAATCTTGGCCGTTTTAGAATCTAGAAATGGGAGATGGATGTTGAAAGGTGGAGGGAGGCGTGTGGCGGTGCTGGGGGCCCAAACGGCTCTCACTGCCCCTCACAGCAGCCCTGCAAAACCCAGGGACATCCCCACTGCACGTTTAGGAAACAAAGCCGGGGGTGGGGGTGGGGTGATCAGGAACCCAGCATGAAGGGCTGCTCTGAGGTTTAAACTGGGTCTGTGACTTGTAGTCACAGCAAGGAAGGAATAGAGTGGCCCACAGAATCCTACTCATTTTCTAAGTAGAAACATCCCTTGGAAACCAAGTTTCTCCTTGGTTGAATTCAAGGAACAGAATATCCAAAATTAAATAAGACACTTTCATTAGCCATTCATTTAGCTGTCCCTTGACTTGACCCAAGTCCAGGGGGCAGGGGAGGACACATGCATGTGTGCGAACATCCGTGTGAATGTCTGGAGGGAACAGCGAGTCCAACTGGTGTCCTCTGAGCTTGCAGGTTGGAGACATGCTTAGAGGATTTAGGAAGGTGTGTGGACCTGGCCTCCCTCAGCCTCAGGCCCTGCTACCCTGAGAGCCCGCTGACACCATCTGAAGTCACACAGTCTGATACCTGGGGCACCGGCGTTTTAAGTTGTTGATTAAGGGGAAAATGAGTACTCTTTGGAAGACCAGTGTTCAACTATCTAGTAGGGTTGATATTTTGATGTAAAAATTTAGAAATACGATCCCTGTTTCCCTCTGGGAAGTGAGGCCCTCACCTGTTTACGCGCATTTTTGAGCAGTTGAGGTTTTTTGAGGAGACTCTGAAAATGCTGGGGAGGATGGGAGGCTGGTGTCCGGGGCTGAGTTCCCCCAAGAGGGCACCACGGCAGCAGAGACCCCACTGCTGGGGGCCCAGGTCTGTCCTCACGCCTTGGAGGAGTAGTGAGCTTGGCTTCCCATTTGTCAGACCCAGGCCCACGCCAGCCCCTCCCCCCCAGCTCTCTTTATTGGCTCTTTTCAGTAGTTTCAGGTGGTGAGAATCCAGTGACTCCTGCTCTGCTACCTATGCCTTTGAAAGCATATGAGCTCCTTCATAGGGTAAAGTCATAACATAGGTCTTCTTGGGGAAATCCAGGTGAACCTTGCGCTTCAGTGGGAGAACCTAGGGCAGTAAACAGCAGTGCTGATGAGAGTGTATCTCTTTGCTTCTAGTTTGGAAACATTTTTGGTTGGCGGTGCTGTGTTTATTATTGTCATAGTGTTGAATATACTCACCTGTGCTTCCCCCAGGTGTGACAAGAAACGCTAACTCTCCTCTTGCAATTTTGGCAGAGCCTCGAACAGTGCCTGACACAAATGTTTTCTTGAATGAATGAATGAAAACAGGTGGATATCTCAGCCTTTCCTGGTGATTGCTACAAAGTTAGGAGAAACCCCTGAAGCAAACTCACATGTCAATGTATGATGATAAGTTGTTTCTTTTCTTAATATTTCAGCTATATTCTAACTATAGCTCTGTTGATTTGGAATTTCCCTGCTATTCTGTATGTGTTGGTGTGAATCAGAACATCAGAGCCTCTGTCTTCATTATTTGTGAATTTACCCAGTTGACTTCCCAATTAAGTTTGTGTACTTTCTGGTTCAACTTTTACTAGTACGAAAATAAATTTCAAACTAAAGATGAAGTACTTCTTTCTCTTTTGTAGTAATAGGTGATGCAAACTTCTGCCTTAGGAAATTAGCAGGGTTAAGGTAGAGGTTCATGTGGGTATACCCTTATGTCACCAATATATTTAAAATGAAATGTAAAATAAGTAATGACATTATTAATTCTTTAAATGCTTTTTAATTCATATTTTACCAGTATTTACTGTTTCTTCCCCAGGATGGCTTTTATTCATATTTCTCTTTGCTTACAGAACCCTTTCCTGATGTTTCTGCTTCTTTAATTGGATTTTATATTTCTTTCCCTTCTTCTTTTGTTCATCTTTCTAGATCTATCAGGTCCAAAAGGTAGGCTCTTCCTTCTCCATTTTCTAATTTGCATGTACTAATTTTGCCTTGCCAAGGGCCTGGTCACCTTTCAGAAATAATGCCTTGCATTGCAGATACAGAGGAGTTTTTACTCTTGGTTTTACCGCCTTGTAATATGAATCTGTTTGAACAAGCATGCCAGGTTCCCACTCCAGCCCACACAGAGCAGCCGTGGACACATTTCTATGTACTGAATGCTTTTTTCACCTCCATTTTCATTAGAAAATTATTTCCTTGAGAAAGAAACTAATTCTAAGACAAAATCAGATTTCAGAATTTAAGGAGCTTTTGAAGTCATATGTTGAATGAGATAGATGATTTTATCATAAAACTTTCAAAATACCAATGCAAATGACCACACATTAAAAGATTATTAGATATTGATTTAAAAACCTCAATAAGAAAGACAATGATATAACAATAAAATAAACCTGCCTTCCTCCATTCCTCATATTCAGAGTTTCATAAACTAACATGTATCTCTATTTCCTAGCATTTTGTAGAGGCAGCTGAGGTTTAGAAATAAATATACCGGGCAGGCCAGACTCAGAAAATTGGGAGAAAGATAGTTAACTCAATGATTTATGATTCAGCAGGAGTGAGTAGGTTCTCTGAGAATCTATAGAAGTTGTGTACAAATGAGTCTTTCCCATAAATGAATCTTGTTTGTTCCTTACGACATCTGTAATAGTTTTTTTTATAAATTTGTTGGTTTCTAGGTAAAGTACAACTGTGTTATTCTTTTAGAGCAGCTAAGAAAATCAGAATAAGGTTTTTTAACTTTAGAGGTTAGAGCAGGCAGACCCTTCGAGCACACGGCCAGTAAGTGTTTAAGTGCCCAGTGTGTTGGATTCCAGTGCTAGCCACAGTTCTGAATTACCTTCCCTGTCCATCTCCTTCCTTCTGCCCAACTGCTGTGTGAAGAAATCAGTGGAGCAGACACCAGAGTCTGTGCATTTTGTTAGTGTTTCTAAGGTCTGAGTATTGAAATGGGTCCTGAAACCTTGAGTTCCTTGTTATCCCTGGAGAGTCTGAGAAGACCCAGGCAGGTCAGAGGCGCAGCTAAGGAGCCCTGGCTATAACTGATGGAGGAGGAGACATCATTGTCCAAAACCTAGAAAGGGGGCTCTGTGGGGGTAAACCGCCACAGGGCTCCATCCAGTCATTTCCACTTGGAGTCATTCTTTTCTTGTGTTATATCACTATTATTTTCTTTTTACAAATATACCAGGGATACAGTGGGAGAGGTTTATCAGAGTGTGAGTTTGTACACAGTGGAAGTGCAGGGCACAGCTTTGTAGGGAACCTGTGACCAAGGGAGGAGAGGCTTTCTTTATAAACCACTGAGGTTTACCAAGAGGACAAGGAGGCAGTGAGGGTGAGCCTTCCTCCCAGGGCAAGTAGCTGGTCTGTATAATGGTTTCTCTTGACTCAAAGCTATTTCTGAAAGCCAAGCGCCTTTTGCATTAGTGTGGCTCTTGCTTCTCTCTGCATGACTCACGGGCTAATCACAGTGTTTATGCTGGAAATATGTATTTTGCCCTCTCTGGACTTTGCTGTGCTGATGCCGATGGCTAGCATGGGAACTACTTGTTAATCGCACTTGCTGTTGCTGGCGTGTTCTCCCACCTGGAAAGGAAGGCATGGAAATGCAGCTAGGCTTATGGCAGCTATTGACAAGACCACCCATGAACTAGGAGAAGATTTTGAATGTTGGCTCTTATTATTATCATGAAAATAGCAATAGACAGTATGCCTTACCTGACATAGGAATATAAGGGGGCAAAAAGAAAAATGTTAAAATAGAAAAACTGGTAGTACTGCTTTCTTTTGGAGTTTAAATAAAGTTATTGTGAATTTATATATCCCTTCCCCTCTCCTTTAAAGAACTTAAAAACGTGCTTCTTCTATTTTTGTAGTTTAGCTGCGAGATGAAGGAGGGGTGATGGCAGCATCCCTCCTTTAACAGGGCAAACGTTAACTGAATCCAACACAGCTTTAAGCTGACACATTGTTCTGAAGTTGAAGTTAAAACATGATTTTGGGAAGTGTTTGCTTTTATTTCCTTTCTGATTTTTCTAAGGAAATAATTTATAGGAAAAGAGGTGACTCATCTACTTTTCGTATTAAGAGTTCAGTGTTGTTGAAATTTTAAAAGCTTTGTAAAGTTCTCCCTCCTAATTTTCTTCTCCCAATCAATTTTCCCCTTACCACCATCTCTGAGATTAAAGGATGAGACCATCCGAGAGCTGTGGGTTTTAAACCCAGCCGCCCTTCAGAATGAAACTAAACCAACCCTGGCAGCAGACATGTTTTGATTATTAAACAATTGCAAAAATTGTCTTGTACTCCCAGTCCCCACTCTATCTGCTGAGTATAAGATTTTGATGACAAGAGAGAAATCTCACATCTGTAATATATGATACTGAGGTGGTTTCTTTATTTTCTTACTGGAAATTGAAGAAAAAGGAGAAAAGCAAAGATCCCATTATTTGGGACCGTAACCTGGCTTCCCCCCAACTCTGGGATTACTGTGTTTGGTAATGGGGACAGCCATTCTGAGCCTGCTTTTCTAACTAACGTGGACCATTATGGCTCAGACTGTTACAGAGACACAGAGGCATTAACTGCAGTAATCTCCAAACACAACTTGGAGGTCTGTGTACTTCCCCTCGTAAGCGAAAGCCTCTTATGTAACCAACCACGGCAGGTTACAAAGACTTCCGGAGTGCATGAATTCTCGTGGGCCTAGATCCAGTGTAGAGGGCAGGCAGCTGGGCAGGTGTCCTCCGGATCACAGGGTCAGTGCACAGCTTCTCTCCCTGCCCTTTGGGCTTTCTGGTCCCAAGGTAGCAACCCAGGGGGTGGCTCTGGGCTCTTGCTCCGCTCAGGGTTTTATTTCTTTATTGCTTTTGCTTTGAAGCTGTGAACAGCTTGACAGAGGGGCTTGAATTCTGCTGGGTGAGGATTAAATGCTTGGGGGGCTGGCAGGGGCTTTCGTCACAACCTGCACAGGCTGCTGGGGGCGGCTCCTGCGGCAGGAGTGTGCTGTGACCGCTTGGCCTTGGCATGTGCCTTCGCTGCGCGGCAACCTGGGTGCCTGTCAGAACACTTTTTCAGACAGTTACTGTTTCACCACTTGCCTAATTTTCTTATCCTTCTGTCTGTAGAAATATTATGGGCTGGATACAAAATGGGGTGACATCGAGCAGTGGATGGTAGGCCTCAAATACAATTTTAAGATTTAAATGGTTTTTAACTTAATTCTCATGCACTTTAATTACGTAGATAGATTTCTCTTGCACCATAATTTAATATTGAGAGATTTTGTTCCGGAGGCTTCCGCATCTGGTCTCTGGTTGTTTACATCCCCGAGTGAAGCCTGCTTAGAAACGTCCTGGCAGGCACTTTGTCTTGTCTGTTCAGTAGCCAGTAACTGCTGATGTCTCCAGGCCAGCAGTTTATGGGGTCTCCACCTTTAGGGCCTCCCCACACACTTTGGGCAGAGGGCTGCCCCCGAGGACTCAGGCTGGGCCTGTGTCCCAGGCTCAAGAACTTTCCTGGGAACTTTCTCGTTACTATCATGGCTCACCAAGTTCCAGTTGGAGCCCAGAGGTACATTGTGCTCTGTTTGCTTCATTCGTGATTCCAACCAGCTGGTCTCAGCCTCATGCGACTTTATCTGCATTCGGGGCCTCCTCATCCTGTCTTCTGTGCCTGCTGAAACTACTGTTCTTGGGTGAGAAAATTCCTTTACATTCTCAGCCTATTTCCTAGAGCAGCCCTGCTACCTTCCCAACCAGGTGATTAGCTCAGCCCTAATGGTGCAGGAGTCCCTCCGGCTCCTGCCTAGGGGAAGGGGGCCTTCTGTGTGCTCTCCGCGGGTCTGACTCATTACCCCACCCCCCTGAGTCACTCGACCTCCCGGCGCTATTGCTTTATTGATTGACTTCATGGACATCCTCACAAGGCTTTGAGAACCTGGCCAGGATGGAAATGCCCTATTAAATGTTCCGTATGTGTAAAAAAAAAAAAAAACAACAAAGGAACATATAAAAAGTTCTCTTAACATCTTAGATACTGTACATAAAAGAGACTAGTTCTTCAAATATGAAGAACACACACTTCCTCTGTTGAAAACAAATGATTAAATCTAACCTGGGTAAACTCATTGTCAGCTTACATGGCAAAGGCAGATAGGTTTTTATCAAATCTTAAGACACAGTTAAAAGATGTAGCGTTGTTTTATATACTACCGAGAAAGAAAAAAATGCTACTAACTGTGTGCTGCTTTGATTATAAGACATACCCTAACTTCAGAGATGTTGAATTGTGAAAAATTGTGCCTTAAGGTCCACAAAATTTGCTAGGCTGGGTAACATCCTTACTGGATTTTTTTTTTTTTTTTTTTTAGACAGAGTCTCACCATGTCGCCCTCAGTAGAGTGCTGTGGTATCAGCTCACAGCAACCTCAAACTCTTGTGCTTCAGTGATTCTCTTGCCTCAGCCTCCCAAGTAGCTGAGACTACAGGCACCTGCCACAATGCCCTGCTGTTTTTTTTTTGCAAGTTGTAATTGTTTAGCTGGCTTGGGTCACGTTTGAACCCACCAGCCTGGGTGTATATGGCCAGCGCCCACCCACTGAGCTACGGGTACCTCCCCTTACTGGATCTTTTGTGGAAATAATTTATCTTCTCATTCCCAAAGAAAGAGAGGAAGATTCTAAACATAAGGGAACACATAGGCCAGTTTAAGTGAACTAGATTATGGAGATTAGAAAAAAATCAGACCCAGGCCAGGCACAGCGGCTCATACCTATAATCTTGGTACTTTGGGAGACCAAGGTGGGAGGATCACTTGAGGCCAAGAGTTTAAGACCAGCCTGGGAAATAGAATGAGACCCCACCTATACAAAAAAAAATTTTAATTTTTAAAAAAATTTTTTAAAAGATGTGGTGGTTGAGCCTAGGAGTTTGAGGTTACGGTAAGCTATGATCACACCACTGCACTGTAGATTCTAGCCTGGGCAACAAAGTGAGACCCATTCTCCAAAAAAAAAAAAAAAAAAATTAAGATTCATGTTCTGCCCCAACACAATTTTTTTAAAGCAAAAATGGAATGTGCCAATTGTGTGCTTTGGAACCCCTTCCTTTACAGTATTCCCAGTGGCTTAATTAAAGCCTTTCAGCAAAAGCAAAGCCAATATTTATTTGACATTTAGGTGGGACTATGTCAGCTTATTCTGAACACTCTGCTGTGTGTCTGTCTAACCTTTGATACTGACTGTTGCCTCTGTTGCTTTGGTAGGAAGACAGTGAGCGCTACTCTCGTAGATCCAGAAGAAACACCTCGGTTAGTACGTGCTCGTTTGTTACTCAGGCAGTGCGGCTGCAGCCTGACTTGGGCTTTCAGTGACTGCCGTTTATGTCTGTATATCACCTCTTAATAAAAGAAATTAACTAATTCTGATGTTACGTCAACAAAGACAATAAACTCAGCTTTTAGTGTTTTATGTGTTTAACAAATTGGTATTAGTATATTTATGAGTTTTCGCATTTTTATGCTATTGAATACCTGTAAATAATCTGCCTAGTGAGACTATGTATTGATGTGACCTATGAAGTAAATATTACCACTTTAATGAAATGAATTTAAATCCGTGTTATCCATAAAAAGTCCTATGAAAACAGGCGCACACACCTGTTGTCGCGGACCCCCGAGATTTTCAGAGGCGGCTGGCCCACTGCACTGCTGTGGTGTCAGACCAGCCACATCTCTCTGGGGACTTTGGTTTCTTTACTTGTGTCATATTGTCACTTCACACTGTTCTCATCCTTTCTTTCAATAGGCTTCTGATGAAGATGAGCGCTTGTCAGTGGGTAGCCGAGGAAGTCTGAGGGTCAGTAACCAGAGTGCTGAGTCCGCCTGGCACAGTCTGTGCTCCAAATCCTTTGCGTTCTCATCCCGCATTCAGGTTTCTCATCAGTTACCCTGCAGTCCCATAGTCAGTATCTGACTGACGCGATGCTCATGTACAGTCTGATCAGTGGGGTGTTTCTTTGCTGTTGTGCAGAGATTATTAATGCATGGAAGCACTCTGGTTGTTTTCTTCCCTGAGAGTGGAAGTCATCATTTTTCCATATTTGTCCTCATCACAAAACCACCAAAACTTGCTTAACGCTGTTGTTGGCATTGCCAGAATGGGAAGCAAATGTGTGACGGCGCCTTCTGCCCCTGCGTCAGTCTGCCAGCACATTCACAGTGCACTCCCCAGGAAAGTGGGAGCGGCTGTGAGTGGAGGTGACTATCACTGAGCCTGGAGAAGGCAAACCAGTGCTGGCTGCTAAGACCCCTGTCTGCCCTCAGGGGCCTTCCCTTTCATCTGCTATAATTAAATACCTTTGTCACTCGCAGCTTAATGCTTAATAGACACAAATATGGATTTTTCCTTAAACAGTCCAAAAACTTTCATAATTATACTTGGAAAAGTGTGAGCTTTGGGAAGTAGAGTAGAGAAACTGTGTTTTGGGCAGTGCCTGTGGCTCAGTGAGTAGAGCGCTGGCCCCATATACCAAGGATGGCAGGTTCGAACCCAGCCCCGGCCAAACTGCAACAAAAGAAATAGCCAGGCATTGTGGTGGGCACCAGTGGTCCCAGCTACTTGGGAGGCTGAAGCAAGAGAATCGCCTAAGCCCAAGAGCTGGAGGTTGTTGTGAGCTGTGACGCCACAGCACTCTACCAAGGGCAACAAAGTGAGACTCTGTCTCTAAAAAAAAAAAAAGAAAGAAAGAAAGAAATTGTGTTTTACCTGGTGCTTAAAGCTAGTAAATTAATATGAGCAGGTCAGTTTAGTTTAACACGGGGTAGAAAGTGCATCTCAATACTAGTAAGAAACAGGCCCCAAGGCAGCCGCTCCATTTTATTCAGGGACTATATAGGGCTGAAGGTCCGTTATATTGTTATGACAATTAAATCGTAATATCACCCCTTGACTTCTTATATTAATATGAGCACTAAGTGTGTGTTTAACTTGGCTGTTTATAATAATAAGACGGCAAGGTGAGTCACTGTCAGCCTGCTGTTAACACGGCTGTGGTCACTGTCCTTGTTGTGCCAAAAGCGGATCCACAGTGATTTTGCCAGGAAGAGGTTAAAACTGTTGCGATCTAAATGAGTATTTTGGTGTTATGCCAGCATTCATTTCATTTTCAATGATTTTAACCAGAAATGAGTTAGATGTCTTTGTCAGACACCACTCTTTGCTGGGATATCAAGTATATTTGGTTTAAGGTGTGAAATTCCACATAGGAAGTCCACAGTTAGGGCACTAAACCAGAGGAGGAGAACGCAGAGGACAACTCATTTCCAGCTACGTGGGTTGCTACACGACGCTTTGATGTACTTGATCTAAAAACATAGACTTAAAAAACCACCGAACTTGAGAACTTGGGCACTGGATATGGGGATCAGACTTCCTAATTTTTATAGGCACAGAACAAGCCCAGAGCAGTTAAGAGGCCTGTTCAGGGTCACAGTTAGTGACACGGCCAGTGCCTGTCACTCAGGGCCCTGGGCCGTGTGCCCTGCGTGTGCTGGGGTGCCCGGACCTCTATCCTCTGCTGCCTGGTGCAGCCAAGCAAGACACCCAGAGCCCTACCCAGAGGAACTGCTTGCTCTCTGTCTCTGCGGAGTCGACCGTTTTGTTCTTATGTATTTTAATATTCTGAAGTTTCACTTTGCACAGTTTTGATTTAAGATCATATCTCTTATTTCTTCACTCTCAAAACACGGGCCTTATTCATTCAATGTTGATAAACCCTAAAAAAGATGGTGATGGGGTCAATCTTAATATCTTAGTGTTTTGTAAACTAGTCTGATCCTCTCAGAAAATCTAGACTTTGGATAGCATACATTTTTAATTTTCCGTACTTAAATGTTGGTAGTGACACATCTGTCAACCTTTTTCATAACATAACTAGACGTACTATGTAGAGCAAGAAGCAAGACATCTCACCTGCTTCAGAATGTTGAATTATAGTGGCCTTTGTTATGGAACTTTGACTTAGTGTTGGATTTTACAGTATCAATCGTTCTGATGTAATTCTTTGTGTGTGTGTGCATATAAATATATATATATATATATATATATATGATCCTACAAGTAATGAGAAATGCATTTTTGGTAATATTTTAAAGATTGCTTGTTTTCTGTTTTACTTAGCTTTTTAATTTATTTTCGGCAACTCTCTTTTCTGTTTTTTCATCTTCTATCTTCCTTCTGACAGTCCCAGCCTGACTTGGAGTATGGGGGTCCCTACGCCTGGGTGAGATGTTTGGATAAACTTTGCTGTGTCGCACTAACTGTGTGGAGTGACTAATAATAACCTGTGACATTTCCACTAATCACGTGATGCCTTTCTAAAAAGCCGAGCACATCTTTGTGCATCGACCCATCTCTGCCTGGGAGATGCTGGAGTCAGAAGGGCAGGCACACTCTGGAGTGAGCGATCTTAGAGCCCCAGGTGTGGCCTGGTCTTTCCGGGATGGGTGCACAGACATTCCCTCGCCAGACGGTCTGCGAGCACAGCTGCTGGCACACCTTGTGTAGCAGCCGTGCACACCCAGATGAAAAAGATGGTGTCCTGCTGTCAAGGAATTCAGATCAAGAATTCCCGAAGCCTCTAAATTTAAAAGAATAAATGTAAATTCATCTTACCTAACAAAATAAAAAATCCATTATTTTCCGATCTGTATCCATTCAAATTAAGCATGATCTGGCTCTTTTGCCAGAAATTAACTCTTTGGGGAAAGACCCCAATTCCAATAAAAAGGGTTTAGATTTAAACTCAGAACTACTATTCTTATTTCTCACTCTTTGTGAGGGTGTCTATGCTTTACTCTGTCTGAAAACCTATAAAATTTACACTTACAAGAAGGAAAATTTCTCAACCAGAAAGCACAGCTCAGCCTTCAAGTGCTGTGCTACTGAAGTGATTGTAGCATATTATATACCCACATGCTACTTTCTATTAAGGACCTCACATAAAAGCACTAGATGTTTCATGTATTATATTGTATCTCAAAATTATTTAGCAAATTTCTGTTTTAAAAATGGATTTCTAGGGCTCAGCGCCCATAGCACAGTGGGTATGGTACCAGCCACATTCACCGAGACTGGTGGATTCTAGCCCGGCCCAGGCCTGCTGAACAACAATGACAACTGCAACAACAGCAACAAAAATAACCGGGCGTTGTGGCAGGGGCCTGTAGTCCCAGCTACTTGGGAGGCTGAGGCAAGAGAATCGCTTAAGCCTGAGAGTTTGAGGTTGCTGTGAGCTGTGATGCCATAACACTCTACCGAGGGTGATATAGTAAGTAAGACCCTGTCTCAAAAAAAGGATGGATTTTTAGGTTTAAGGTGATAATTAGTAAATAGCACCATACATCTGCATAGCATGTTTGGGGTGCTGAGCACCCGATGGAGTACGGTTCTGCCCGTCACAGATGAGAGACAGAGGTCAGAGCGAGCAGCTGAGAGGCAGCCAGCCCAGCCGGTCCCACCCTTAGGCGCTGCAGACCAGCCTGGCCAGGTTCAGACCTGCCACAGGCACTCAAATGTACAAAGATATGTAATCAGGTTCAGACCTTGTTACTTATCTACATAGCACTTCCACAATCCTGTTTCTGTGACACTGTAAGTCTAGCAACACCTCTGTTTTCTGAGGAATGACTGGATTAGCAGTGTGTTTCTAGATTATTACTGTTTTTATTTTAAGCTCACAGTGAATTCTGTGGAGGGGCCAGTCCCTCGTGGATATGTTAGCAATGGTCAGGAGCACAGTTTGGATTTTCTCATTCTTTTTAAAATGAGATCGACTACATCGGGTGTTGCACTCAAGGGTTTTGATTTTTGCCCTTGTTGTGTTTGTCCCATCTCTGATGTGTGCTTTGTATTTTGACTCATGTAGAAAAGTAGACATTAACATTAAAAAATGTGAACAGTTCACTTTTGCGTGGTCACATGGGAAGCTCACCCAGGCTTTGGTGACACTGCATGGTGGTCACGTGTGTTCAGACTAATCACAAGTTACCGTTAGAATCTGTGGTTTTGACAGGGCATTACTCTTGCTTTACTTATCTGTGTTAGAAATGCTAATTTATGAATGTCCTCTTTATTTTGTTCTCTCTTCTAAGTGTTTCTTAGTCTCACTGTATGTAAGAGTCACCTGGAGAGTTTGTAAAAATGCCTCTTCCTGGGCCCTACTTCTAGCTATTCTGATTTCCCTGGTCGGGGGGGCCCATGCTTCTAAGAAGCAGTCCAGGTGAAGCTTGAGCCCAGGAGCCCACGGTCACAGTGAGCAATGCTGGTGCCACTGTACCACAGCCTGGCTGGTAGAGAGAGACCTCATCTCTTTGAAAAAAAAAAAAAAAGAAGAAGGAAGCACAGCAGGTGACCACAGTACTGGTAGTCTACAGGCTGCCCTCTAAACACTGCCCCGTGTGGTCTAAAGCCACACAAAGAGTGCTGGAAAATTCTGTAGAGCAAAGCTAGGTAAACACGAATGTGCTACGTATGGACTTCTGCTGGTAATGGTTAATTGGCATCTCTGCTGCCTATTAGAGGTAGCCCCACCCATCTAAATACAGCACATAAAAACACAATTTAAGAGGAGAAAGTTGGTAATGTTCTTTCAGAAGGTCAGAGAGAAAATACAGTCGATAGGCATATTCCAGGAACGTAGTCTTGGTCCCGAAGACAGAATTCTAGTATCGCAGACCTGGGCAGATGTTCCACGAAGCCTGCAAAATGCCTTCTCAGGGAAGGTTAGAAGAGAAGTGGGGACAGAGGAGAGGGCCGATGGGCGCTCCCAGATCTCCCTCCCCCTGCTCTGTTGCCGCAGGCCGGGCTAGAGACTGGAAAGACAGAAGGAAGGCTCCCCTAAAGCAGATGCATTGCCTCAGATGAGGAGGGATGAGAGCCAGATCTGACTATGCAAGTCCTGGACAGGGCACCTTACTGTCAGATAATCTTGTGGGGAAAGACAGGAGAGGAAATTAGGCTAAGTAAACCTCCTGCCAATCTGCAAAGGTTTTTATTATTGAAATGTTTTACTGTTATTTGTAGAGTTCTCTCATTTAATGTGGAAGGATTTCTAGATTTTGTTTAAATTCTTCAAATTGATTTTTTTTTAAGTTGTAGCAAAGTTAAATATACTATTTTATAGTCAAGGTTTCATGAAACTGGATTTATAATCTTATCTGGAAATTCAATTATTTATTCTGCATTAATGTCCTGGCTGCCAAATGGCACCTACAATAAGGAGCCATGTGCTGGGCGCCTGCCCCAAGAAAGAGTTCATGACCCAGCGGTCAGCACACACTGCCACGGCTGCCTTGCCAGTGCTTGGGATACTCATTTACATCTCACTTAATCCTCTCAGTGGCCTTGGAAAGTGTACATCATTATGTACATTTTTATTACTGAGGAAGCAGAGGCTCAAGTGGATTGAATAACTTGTTTAAGGTCAGAGGACAGAGCATCTGTTTGGAATTTGGACTCAAGTCTGTGACCTATTTTTTCCATTTTTACCCCTGTGTGGATCGCCTCTCCTCTTCCTATCTCTAGAGGTGGTTTTGTCGCCAATGTTTGACAGCTCTTACCTCGAGTCAGCAGAAATTTCATTCTTGACTAATTAGGGCATCTTTAAAGGCCTATGCTTTGGCCTTACAGGGAACGTGGCTGAGACTCGAGGAGAAAGGGAAGATGGGCATGGGCTGAACATAATTGTTCTCCTTTATTGTCCATAATTGTCCTCCTGGAGGACAAATTATGAAATCATTTAAATGTGTCCTACGATTTCATTTTGAAAAATAGTAGATGAATGTAAAACCCATGATACACATTTTTTCTGTGATGAACTTTTGCATTTAATTATAGATGGAATGGAAACTATTTCTGAGTCTTCCAAATACGGCTTCACAATGGGCTGTGATTTTCAAGGAGTTAACCTGAAAACTCACAGACTCAGGCTGAATCACTGCCCAAGGCCTGGTCTGCAGAAGATCTGCAGCCTTCTCCAAAGCTACATGCTGTGGCACTATCACAAAACGCAGAGGAAAGCCTCTGCTCCAGGCCATGTGCTCCACCTCGGGGAGGGCCTGGGTGCCACCTTAAGGCCCAGATTGACCTGTGACCAGAAACCTCCCGACTGGATTAGCTTGACTGTGCCCTTCTCTCCCAAGCCACAGGGAGGGCAGGGGAGGCCTGATGGCAGGGTGGGGGTGGCCAGGGTTTGCACTGTCCCGGCTTGTCATTCGTGTGCTAAGAGCTCACTTTATACTCTAACTCTTCGTTGCTGGTTTGTGTCTGTGTCTTCATGTGTGTACTGATGTCACTTATTCTCTTTTCTTCATTGAGACAGACAAATGGTTATGATGGAGAACTACATGGATCCCAGTCCCTGAATAGAAGATCTGGCAGGGTTAGTATAGTAAATTTGCATGGCACACGATTCAAATAGGTTGCTTTAAAGTTTAAAGCGTCTATTGCTAAGTTGAGCTTCTTTGCTTTTTTTTTTTTTAATGTTATAATGGATGTTTTTTTCCTAGCACATGATAGAATGAAAGATAATGTTTTTCAACTAGTAAACATTCTCAGAATGTTAGTATTCAAACATTCTGAGAATGTTAATCGGACATTCTGAGAGGGTAAAAGGTACACATTGATAAGACTTATCTCTAAGTTTAAACAGATCTAAAATTAAAGACTAGTTGTGTTATTGCTTGGCTGCCCTGGGAGTATGTGTATAATGTGTATATTAAGTATGTCCAGCTTTCAGAAATACTAAATCCACCATTTTCTCAGCTCTTCATACTTTCCATTTGTAATCTCATTTAATGTTTATCTTAAAGACACCCAGACATGAGTCTGTTTTCCTGGAGAGGAAAAGGAAGAGAACTGAACACTAATCTTTCTCGTTTCTTTTTTTTTTTTTTTGAGACAGAGTTTCATTTTGTCGCCCTTGGTAGAGTGCCTTGGCGTCACAGCTCACAGCAACCTCCAACTCTTGGGCTTAAGCGATTCTCTTGCCTCAGCCTCCCAAGTAGCTGGGACTACAGGCCGAACACTTATCTTGGAGGGCTCACAGCTGAGGGGTGGGAGGCAGAGGAGGGGCCAGAGAGAGGGAGAAGAAATACACAGATCACACAGGTCTGGTTTATGTTAAATGACCCCAGATCTTCTTGTTGCTGTTCATTTTTTTCTTTTAGTAAAAATTTGACTGACTGTTTAAAATACTATTTCTTTTAATTGGAATTATTTCATATTATAATATTATATACACTTAAATTATATTTTTAGGCTTCTAATGAGAGACACCTGCCCTCCATATTTCCCCTTCACCCCAACCCCGTCTTAGGTTCTAAAACAGGCCTAGCGGGGTGGTTCTTACCTTCTCATTCCCATTCAGGATTATATATACTTTCATTATCATTCATCCAAGTGCTTCTCCTTCCAAACATTAACAAACGGAGTTTAAAGGTTAGGTCCTGCTATTGGCATTGCTTTTTACATTGACGTTCCTTGAAGTTTCCTGCCTTGCTATGTGTCTCTTTAAGGTAACACAGCTTTCCAGAGATAGGAACATTCAGCGCAGGGTTCCGTGCACGCTGCACGTTTGCAGTGTTGCTGGCCGTGCTCCGCATTCCTGCAGACTGCTTCATACCAGCGTTACAGGGCACTAGCTGAAGTGTTTTCGGATGGCCGCTCAACCTCTCACTGGAATTGTATTGACTGGTTTATAACTTTCTCTCCTAAATGCGTTACCATAACTGATTACAAGAAATCATAATTTAGAGTTGGAAGTTATTTCAGAAGTTCATTATTCCAACTTCTACCTAATATTACATTCTTCTCCAGAATATCACTAACATGAAGTGACAGTATGAGGTGGCAGGGGCTTTATGTTGTACATGTATCCATATATTTTAATCTTTGGTTTTTACATGAAGACAATAAAAATGTACGTAATGATACTGTTAAGATTTAAGTAATACTTCTGCAAATCAAATATGAAAGGACCTGATTATAAAACCATTCACTACAGAATGTAATTGGCCATCAAACTGATTTAATAAATAATCAGAAAGTATAATGATTGAGGGGCAAAATAACCTCCATGTAAGGCAGCATTGTGCACGGTAAGGTCTCAGAGCAGAGAACTAGAGTCAGTGTGAGAAGGAGCTTGGAGGAGAATGAGAAGTTTCATAGACATAGGAAATACCTATTGATGGGAAGGAATAAAATGACCCAGGCCGATGTAAGAGTTGGGAAATAGCTGTTTCTTATCAGGGAAGCCAGAGTCTCTGTAGCAAGAGAACTGTCTGGTCACTGTGAATGCCGTCTCCTGCCTTCATCTGTGACTTCCCCACGGCACCTCTCCACTCAACCCCAGTGAGGGCAGCCTGCGGGCACTTTCCTCCCATGGATAGTGGCTCTTCCTGGACAGATGGGGGCAGGCTCTATCAGACCCCACCTGCCTCCCTCAAGTTTCAGGCCTGAGCTCTAGCTCTCAGGTGGGCTGGGCTGAAGGAAAATCAAAAAATTTGCAATAAACAGAATTTTAGTTACTTAGGAAGATATGTAATAAGGACAGTTCAGAGTAGGAGGTAATAGACGAACTGGCATGAAATTTAGTGAGTTATTGCGAACAGTATTACAGACATAAATTGTGAAAAGCAGTGATAGATAAAACCTTAGCATCACTGGGACCCAAACACTGAAATAAAAACAGCTCAGAGTCTCCATTTGTTGAAAACTTCTGGTTGTCTTGATTGTAGATAGATCAGCATTCCTGGGGTACTGATATTGGTGGGACACGCACTGCAGGTGGAATGGCTGGGGGGAGCTCACACTAAACTTCTTTGGTGCTCAGAATTCCAGCTACAGTGGTGACGGCAGATTCTCTACTTTGTCATCGTCCAGGGACAAGAAGCTGGTTGGTTTCCATTTAAATCTTTCACGTCCTCTCTCAGAAGCTTCAGGTTTTGTAGCATGCAGCCTTGTATGTGTGAATTTAGCTCCGCTTTCCTCTTTTAATGTCTTATTTTATGAATTTTTATTTGGACAGATAATTTTGTTAAAGTAAACTCTGACCAGCGGTTAACATGAGCTGTTTCATGCAACTCACTCCTCTGTGCTGCATTTGACTCTGCCAGCCTGGGTGTGAACTGTGTTCAGCTGGCTACAGTGAAAGGCTGTGTTCTGGATATAAAGGCAGTCCTCAGGTTATGAACAACATGGGCTCTGTACCTTTGTTCTTAAGCTGAATTTGTATGTAAGTTGGAACGTTGCCTATAACTGTGAGTCGTATTCCAGTCATATGTTTATAACTCAAGGACTGCCTGTATTTCCTAGAGTTAATCAAAAGGAAAAAATAATGGGAAGAGTGCCTTGGGTTTCTTTCCCGGAGAGTTTCTGAAAACAGAACTGCCTTGTAGGATACATGCACACTGTTTCTCAGGGATAGGCCAGATTTGGAGTGAAAATTCAATCTAATGCAAATCTGGGTGCTGGCACAATACATCACCTGTCAGGACATGGATCCATCCTGATAGGTTCAATTTCTGTGTTATATGGGGCGCCCTAAAGTAGCTAAGGCTTGTTCATATCCTAGTTAAGGTTCATATTCACTCAGCAACATTAGGGAACCAGTTGAGGTAAGAAGAAAACTGAACGGGCCCTGGGCGCACAGAGATCAGCAGTGAGGCAGGTGATCTCAGATCACTCACTTTTAGAGCAGAAGACTGAACACCACAGCAGATACCAGGCATTGTGACTAGGTGAATCGGCAGGATGATAGGGAGACACTGAGTTTGCCAGAAAGTGTCATAACAAAGGAGGTAAACTAAACCTGAAAGAATTAATAGGAAAATAAAAACCCAGGAAGAATAAATAGGAACTAGCCAGGTAGAGCCTAGAGGGGAATCTCTACCACGTGGACAGAGGAGGCAGTGGACGGTGAGAACTTCCTGGGGGAAGCCTGCCTGGCTGAGCGCAAGGCAGCGTCAGACCCTGACAACCTCCTGGCTGAGCGCAAAGCAGCGTCAGACCCTGACAACCTCCTGGCTGAGCGCAAGGCAGTGTCAGACCCTGACAACTGCTCCCCCTCTGCAATCAGAAAAAGTCAGAAATCCACGCAATGCCTCTGCCATTTCCTTTACCCTCCTCCCCCATGGAGCCTTCGACCTCATTAAAATGCTTCTACAAGAAACAGCTGAGAGCCCTTCCAGCCTCCCCCTCCCGCCTTCTTTTCCCTCTGGGTTTCCTTTCTCAACTCCCCCCCAACAGTCTTAACTCCAGACCCCCTGGTCCCCTTTTTCTCACCCCTTGCAGACCTTGCTCACCTCCAAAGGTGGTTCCCAAAGATGCCGGCAGCTCCCTCCGCCCTCTAGCTGGCTTGCCCGCTTTCCAAACACCTGCTGCTGCCTCTTAGACCCTGAAATGATCAACACTGCATCCCTCACCTGAGCTGGTGACCTTCCTGTCCCCAAGTGGTACATTTTGACTAGATATAGGATGTGCTGTGAGCACTAAAGTATTGGTGGGTTTTAACACCTTGAAAAAGAGCTCCTGTATTTCCTTAGTTCACAGGGAGATTTTGCCCTTACGGAGAGCAGTTAGTCATTTAGAAAACTTTATTTCCTCCTTGTTTTTGACAGCCTGAGATGCTTGCTTTAAAATAGAAGATGATGATAGATATATAATACTCAGATATCGATTATTCACTCAAGCTTGTATCCGACTCAAATTCATTTAGGAGAAATAACCCACCTCCAGAGGTTTAAATGACAAGACCAGGGCTGGCCCCTTCAAACCTAAAGGACATCAGACTTTCTGTGAGGCCAAGTGTCCCCAGCATTGTGCTGTCTGAGTCTCATGATACAGCCACCCTCAAAACCTTCCTGGTAATTGTGCTCTGCAGGTGTTTATTCCACACATCAGCTTGTTTAACTTTATTTAAATATAATAATAGAGAACTTATCAATGTAGTGTGTGGCATTTACCGCTCTTCAGAATGACTTTTCAAGTGCTTTAGTGTCAGAAGCAAACCCTGGAGGTGACAGTACAATATGGCCTGATGGCCACAGGCACTTTCTCCCATGTGGCTGCAGGGGCCTTTGTGCACATCAGGGTTGACAAAGTGGCCTTTATACAGGGCATTCTCTCCAACTACTGGAACAAGTTCCGATATTTGTGCTAAAGATTAAGAGTTCCTCCCTGTGCATCCCAGCATTCCACTTGCCTCTCTCCCACGTCATTTCGATGTGGCTTATTTAAGGGATGGCAGTGAGAGGCATGAGTTAGGGGACCTTGAAGTCTTGGTTAGTTTCAGGCTCTGTCAAGGTACTTTAATGGGACCACTTCATCTTCAAGGACTGCGCTGTTCTTGGTGACAGTAGAATACTCCAGACACAGGAATTA